GCCTGGTATACAGGAAGTCGTGGGTTTGATCCCGACCCTGACGCCTGCTGCTATATATTTGGAGGGTTCTCCCCGTGGTCACGTGGGTATCTCCCCAGGTGCTCCGGTTTCCACCCCCCCCCCCTCCATATTTAGAATCAATGTGCGGTTTCGAGAATGTGGCCGCTATTAATTTTCCACGCGGCAATCCACTTCGTTGACCTATCGTTGGCGATGGCCAGGTGGCTTCTGAGAAAAAAAGACCTGACTAGCTCAGTGGGGCCTTTCCTGGTAAAACAAGAATATTGATAAATAGTTTATTTTTTAAATGAAGTGGAGGACAACTTGATATTAAATCGCGGGCCGGAGGTTCCTCACCTCTCTGCTTGAAACCAAACACGAAAGAGTCGAATTGAGTGGCTTGCCGAAGGATTTTTTATTTTGTTTCATTCAAGCAAGAAGCGTTAAGCAACCAAAAAAAAATCCCCCGTCGGCGAGTTGAACGATGGGGGAAATAAGTTTGACAGGAAATATTTTGGCTTTTGCAAGGGAGCTCGCACACCCGGGGCATTCCCCAAATCCCAGGCCGCAGCAGAATTCCAGCGCCGCTTGGCATTCCACTCCACCGTGGCGACGGTGGCGGCGGTGGTGGCTGTGTTGTTGTTATCGCTCTCTCGCTCTCTCTCTCGCTCGCTCTCTCGCTCTCTCGTTCTCTCGCTCTCTTTTTTTTTTACGATCAGTGGAAACAAGAAGATGCTCGGTGTATTCGGCACTTTGTTTCGTTCATCATTTCGTAAAATTTTTTTTTTTAAACGGGGCTTTATGTAACCCTTGCTCGCTCGCTCTCTCTCTCGCTCGCTCTCTCGCTCACTCTCTCGCTCGCTCGCTCTCTCGTTCTTTAGTCATCGCTCTCTCGTTCTCTCGCTCTCTATCGTTCTCTCTGGAGCTGTCGAGAGAAATCAATCTTGTCGATGAAAACGTCGACCGGACGGAAACGGGTCGGCGTGGATCGGCGAGTAAACCGAGCGCGCGGAACGTAGCAGATGGCGCCGCTCACCCGATAGAGAACCCTCGTCTCGTCCCATACAGAACCCTCATCCCATACAGAACCCTCGTCCCATCCCATACAGAACCCCCGTCTCATCCCATACAGAACCCTCGTCCCATCCCATACAGAACCCCCGTCTCATCCCATACAGAACCCTCGTCTCATCCCATACAGAACCCTCATCCCATACAGAACCCTCGTCTCATCCCATACAGAACCTTCGTCTCATCCCATACAGAACCTTCGTCTCATCCCATACAGAACCCTCGTCTCATCCCATACAGAACCCCCGTCTCATCCCATACAGAACCCCCGTCTCATCCCATACAGAACCCCCGTCTCATCCCATACAGAACCCTCGTCTCATCCCATACAGAACCCTCGTCTCATCCCATACAGAACCCTCGTCTCATCCCATACAGAACCCTCATCCCATACAGAACCCTCGTCTCATCCCATACAGAACCTTCGTCTCATCCCATACAGAACTCTCGTGGTGATTGCGGTGGTCGTGGTGGTGGTCGTGGTGGTGACGGTGGTCGTGGTGGTGGTCGTGGTGGTGGTCATGGTGGTGGTCGTGGTGGTGGTCGTGGTGGTGGTCGTGGTGGTGGTCGTGGTGGTGGTGGTGGTCGTGGTCGTGGTGGTGGTCGTGGTGGTGGTCGTGGTGGTGGTCGTGGTGGTGGTCGTGGTGGCGATGGTGGTCGTGGTGACAGTGGTCGTGCTCGTAGTTTTACGCCAAAAATCTTGTCACTGACTCTCTAGCAGCCCACAAGATTGTCACACGTCCACAAACACACAGATCCCACGCGTGTGCCGATGGGTCGATCAAGTTCACAGTCGCTCACGCGGCGACGTTTCGCTACCACCACTCGGAGGAGATGGAGTGAGTTCTGCTGCGTCAGCAGATGAGCCTCCCTGACCAGTGACGTACAGCACCTACAGCCTCCCTACTTGTGTCAACGCAGCACGCTGGGTGACTTGTCAGGCTTAAGGCACCGGTGTGTACGTGCGTGTACGTGTGTGTGTGCGTGTGTGTACGTGTACGTGCGTGTACGTGTGTGCGTGCGCATGTGCGTGCGTTTAAAAGCCGTGTTTACTCGGCTGTCAGCGGCGGTAGCAGTGGCAGCAGCAGCAGCAGTAGCGGCAGCAGCTGTAGCAGCAGCTGTGTTTGGCGACGCGTGCGTCCGTGCGTGCGCGCCGACCCGCGAGGCGCCGTCTCCAGGATGGGAGCGAGCAACCCGCCTGTTGTCGGCAAACACGGGCGGACAGAGCAATTAGCACGCGTATGTGTGTGTGTACATGTGTGTGTGTGTACCTGTGTGTATGTACCTGTGTGTGTGTACCTGTGTGTGTGTGTACCTGTGTGTGTGTACCTGTGTGTGTGTACCTGTGTGTGTGTGTGTACCTGTGTGTATGTACCTGTATGTGTGTACCTGTGTGTGTGTGTACCTGTGTGTGTGTACCTGTGTGTGTGTACCTGTGTGTGTGTGTGTACCTGTGTGTATGTACCTGTGTGTGTGTACCTGAGTGTGTGTACCTATGTGTGTATGTACCTGTGTGTGTGTGTACCTGTGTGTATGTACCTATGTGTGTGTGTACCTGTGTGTATGTACCTATGTGTGTATGTACCTGTGTGTGTGTACCTGTGTGTGTACCTGTGTGTGTGTACCTGTGTGTGTGTACCTGTGTGTGTGTGTGTGTACCTGTGTGTGTGTCTACCTGTGTGTGTGTCTACCTGTGTGTGTGTCTACCTGTGTGTGTGTACCTGTGTGTGTGTGTACCTGTGTGTGTGTACCTGTGTGTGTGTACCTGTGTGTGTGTGTACCTGTTAGGGGAGCGGTGGTGTAGCGGTTAGCGCGCTGCGCTATGAACCCGGCGACACGGGTTCGATTCCCGCTCACGGCCAACACCAGTGACGATTATCTGAACCGGTCCGGGGCCTCCCCTAGGTCGACTCAGCCTCAAATGAGTACCTGGTGCGGTGTGTAAACATTGCCACTAGGGAGACAAAGGCGGTCGGGCGTGGTGCTGGCCACCCATCCCCTCGTGTGCCGTGCCGGATTTCATAGGTGCTCGCTAGCAGCACTTGCCCCTACAGTCTGTTAAGGCTATATGGGGGAATCTTTATCTTTGTGTGTACTTGTGTGTGTTGTGGGGAGCGGTAGTGTAGCGGTTAGCGCGCTGCGCTTTGAACCCGTGACCTCCTGCCAGCGGGCGTGGCCTCAAGGTGCACATAGCCTGGCACAAGCGTCGTGGTGACATCACCGCCATGGCGGTGTTGTTGTGTGTGTATGTACCTGGGGGGGGGGGGAGAGGAACGGCTCGCGCTACGCTGCGCTACGAACCCGGCTTGCCGAGTTCGATTCTCGCTCACGGTCACCGACACGGGAGACGTTTGCCTGAATCGGTTCTGACTGCTCCGATGTGTGAGACAAAGGCGGCCGGGCGTGGTGCCGGCCACCCACCCCCTCGTGTGCCACAGTGCCGGCCTTCATAGGCGCTGCTACTCGCTAACAGCACTTGCCCAAACAGTCTGTTAAGGGTAAACGGGAGATCTTCGTCTTTGTTTGTACCTGTGTTTGTACCTGTGTTTGTACGTGTGTGTGTGCACGTGTGCGTTTGGGGAGTGGTGGTGTGGTGGTTAGAGCGCTGCGTTACGAACCCGGCGGCTCGAGTTCGATTCCCGCTAACGGCCAAATATCGGTGACGAATATCTGAACCGGTCCTGGCCCTCCCCTAGGTTTACTGAACCTTAAATAAACATGGCCACTGGGGAGACAAAGGTGGCACGGCGGGCGTGGTGTTGACCACACCACCGCATTGTGTGCCACGGTGCCGGCCTTCGTACGTGCTACTCGCGAACAGCACTTGCCCCAACAGTCTGTTCACAGGTGATACGGGGGGCATCTTTGTCTTGTGCGAGTGGCTGGGTGTGTTGAGTCACACGAATTGGTGAGTGAATCAGTGGGTGAGCGAATGGGCGAGTGAGTGAATGAGTGACTGAGTGTGTCTGTGTGTGACACCTGGCCTTCATAGGTGCTTCGGCAACAGCACTTGCCCTCAACAGCCAGCTAAGGCTACACGGGGGATCTTTGTCTGGGTTGTGTTTGGTGACGCCGCAGGAGTGGGCAGTGCCAACCCAGAGAGACAACTTGGTGGTGGGGGGGAGGTGAGGGGTGGAGAGCCGGTGCCCCCCCCCCCTCCCACTTTTGGGCCATATAGCCACGTGACGTGACACATGACATGTTACATGACATTCCCATGTTGCGTAACACTCCCAGAAGCTTCTCAAATGCCGCTTCACCTCTGTCCCCCCCCGCCCCCCGCCGTGACCCCAGCAGTGAGTGGCGGGGTGGAGTTGTGGCCACACTCGCACCCCGACCCAGCAACCAGGAGCGTGGCAGAGCAGACAGGGCCTCCTTAAGGGGCCATACATCTCGTACGTGCGCATGGAGGGAGGACGGGGGTGGGGGGTTAACCCAGATGCGTGCGTGTGGGGGGTATACTGACAACCTGAGGACGTTGTGGCCGAAACGTCGTGAGAATTGTATTTTATTTTTATTATTTTATTATTTTCCTTCTACGTGACTTTACCGAAAGAACCAAGAAGACGCGTTAACATTATTAATCCTTGATCGTTTCTGCGTGGATTAAAAATCGGCCGTTCTATAGGATTCGCGGTGGGGGGGGGGGGGGGGTGTAAAAAGACCACGTGCTGACAGGGAGGGGGGGAGAGGGGTCAAGCCTTGACAGATCTTTGCGTGCCTACTCAATGGGTGGCCCCTAAAGGTGCTTTGCCGTTGGGCCTACTCTTCCACAGCAGCCACACGGAGACGAATGTGCCCGCGGCACGCGCCGTCAACCCCAGCCACCCCCCCACCCCCCCCAAAGACACAAAGACACCGCGGTTGTCTTTGTGTCTTTGTCTCCACGCCTCTCATTGTCCACCTCCTCCACTCCTCCTCTCCCGCAGCCGCGAGCGTCGCCCCGGACGGACGCCGCGGAGGCCGCTCCACCCCAGCCTCGCCCGTCGACGTGAAGCCCTCCGCCCGGCTCGCCTCGCCGCCCCCCCCCGCCCTGCACGCGCCGCCCCCCCCCGCCGCGGCCCCCCAAACGGCGCTCGCCGCTCCCCCGCCGGCGGCCGCCGCCCGCGCCTCCGCGGCCTTCCTGCCTCCCCCAGGTGCGGTGGTGCCGGCGGTGCTGATGATGATGTAGTGATGCTGATGGCGGTGCTGATGATGAAATGGTGATGATGATGATGATGTGGTGATGCTGATGATGATATGGTGATGCTGATGATATGGTGATGATGATATGGTGATGATGATGTGGTGATGCTGATGATGATGTGGTGATGCTGATGATGATGTGGTGATGCTGATGATGATGTGGTGATGCTGATGATGATATGGTGATGCTGATGATATGGTGATGATGATGTGGTGATGCTGATGATGATGTGGTGATGCTGATATGGTGATGCTGATGATGATATGGTGATGATGATGTGGTGATGCTGATGTTGAGATGGTGATGCTTATGATATGGTCATGCTGATGATGAAATGGTCATGATGATGATGAAATGGTGATGCTGATGCTGAAATGGTGATGCTGATGATGATATGGTGATTCTGATGATGATATGGTGATTCTGATGATGATATGGTGATGCTGATGATGATGTGGTGATGCTGATGATGATGTGGTGATGCTGATGATATGGTGATGCTGATGATGTGGTGATGATGATGATATGGTGATGCTGATGATGATATAGTTATGCTGATGATATGGTGATGATGATACGGTGATGCTGATGATGATATGGTGACGCTGATGATGATATAGTGATGCTGATGATGAAATGGTGATGCTGATGATGATATGGTGATTCTGATGATGATATGGTGATGATGATGTGGTGATGCTGATGTTGAAATGGTGATGCTTATGATATGGTCATGCTGATGATGAAATGGTCATGATGATGATGATATGGTGATGCTGATGATGATGTGGTGATGCTGATGATGATGTGGTGATGCTGATGATATGGTGATGCTGATGATGTGGTGATGATGATGATATGGTGATGCTGATGATATAGTTATGCTGATGATATGGTGATGATGATGATACGGTGATGCTGATGATGATATGGTGACGCTGATGATGATATAGTGATGCTGATGATGAAATGGTGATGCTGATGATGATATAGTGATGCGGATGATGATATAGTGATGCTGATGATGATATGGTGACGCTGATGATGATATAGTGATGCTGATGATGAAATGGTGATGCTGATGATATGGTGATGCTGATGATGATGTGGTGATGCTAATGATGATATGGTGGTGATGATGATATGGTGATGCTGATTATATGGTGATGATGATGATGATGTGGTGATGATGATGATATGGTGATGATGATATGGTGATGATGATGATGTGGTAATGATGATGATGTGGTGATGATGATGATATGGTGATGCTGATGATATGGTGATAATGATGATGTGGTGATGATGATGATATAGTGATGATGATGATATGGTGACGTTGATGATGATGTGGTGATGCTGATGATGATATAGTTATATAATGTTGCCGATGATGGTGATAACATGGCAATGGTAATTATGATGCTGATGGTATGGTGATGCTGTTGATGCTGTTTATATAGTGATGATGATGTGGTGATGCCGATGATAATTGTGATGATATGGTGATGATGATGATGCTGATGGTGATGATCATGCTGATGACATTGGCGGTGTTAACGGGATGGCTGCTGTAGTGTAACGGTCAGCACCGCTGGACTTGCAATCCGGGGGTCACCAGTTCAATCCGATCTCTCCCGCGCTGCGGTTGAAACGACGCTGCAAGTTTCTGAAATCGCTCCTCGGCCTCTGTCCACCCAGCGGGCATAACGGGGCGAATCGATTGGCAGGTCGAGTGTGGTGGCGTGCGGTGTTAGGTCCTCCCAACTCTCACGAGGTGTATGGCCATCGTGCAGGGAGGGGTAGACCGGGAAACTTCTATTGCGACAGAGCGATGATAAAATCATCAAATCGTCTTGATCAAGTCACGACAACAATGATGACCACAATGATGACGACGATGAGAATTATGAAGAACGTCATTGGTGACGATGGCAACGATGATGACCATCATAATCATCATCATCAAAATGACGACGACGATGATTGGCATCACAATGATAGCGATGACGACACGGATGATGACGATGATCATCACAATGACGATGACAACGACGATGACGACACGGATGATGACGATGATCATCACAATGACGATGACGTGGATGATGACGATGATGTGGATGATGACGATGATCATCACAATGACGATGACGACGACGATGACGACGCGGATGATGACGATGATCATCACAATGACGATGACGACGACGGCGCGAATGATGATGATGATCATCACAATCACGATGACGACGACGACGCGGATAATGACCACGATGACGACTGCCATCGTTCAACAGGCCTGCTCCTGAACGGATCACGACACTCCCCGTCCGGCCCTAACGGAGCTTCGCCTTCAGCAGCGGCCGCCAGCGGCGCCTCCTCGCTCGTCCCCACGTCCCCGCTGGCGCCCGCCTTCATCACGGCCAGCCTCTCCTCCGCGTCGTCGCTCTCCTCCTCCTCCTCCTCGTCCTCCTCCTCCTCCTCGCTGTCCACCTCTTCCTTCCCGTCGTCGCCGCCGCTCCACGCGCTGCCGCCGGCAGCAGCAGCGCCGCCGCCGGCGCCGCTGCTGCTGCCGGCGCCTCCGCAGCTGCCGGCGGCGTGCGGCGCGCGCCAGCTGAGCAAGCTGAAGCGCTTCCTGACGACGCTGCAGCAGTTCGGCTCGGACATCTCGGCCGAGATCGGGGAGCGCGTGCGAGCGCTCGTCCTGGCGCTCGTGGTAACCGCTTCCCTCGCCGCCCACCCCGGCCACCGCTCACCATGGCACCGCCGCTTGCAACCGCTTGCAACCGCTTGCAACCGCTTGCAACCGATGCAACCGCTGCAACCGCTTGCAACCGCTTACAACCGCTTGCAACCGCTTGCAACTGCTGCAACCGCTTGCAACCGCTGCAACCGCTTGCAACCGCTTGCAACTGCTGCAACCGCTTGCAACCGCTTACAACCGCTTGCAACCGCTTGCAACTGCTGCAACCGCTTGCAACCGGTGCAACCACTGCAACCGCTTGTAACCCCAACACTGCTGGCCACCGTCTCACTGCCTGCCACCTCACCAGCCCCACAGCCACTGCTCACCACGTCGCCTGCACACTATCCCACCCATCACTCACACCACATCTCACCACATCACACCACATCACACCACATCACACCACAGCTCATCACATCACACCACATCACACCACATCACACCACAGTACACCACATCACACCACATCACACCACAGCTCACCACAGCACACCACCCACCAAACCACGTGCTACTGCCCCCCCCCCCCCCCACCAAGATGCTCCCCCCCCCCACTAACACCCCCCCCCCCGTCACGATAGACAGCGTTGTGGGCCCTTGCGCGCGAGCACGTTGGAAGGGCCGCGTGCCGCTAATTGGGAGGAGGACGAGCGGGGGTCAGTAGAGGCACGGGGTCACAACAATAAACAAAACTAAAATCACGATAGGAGTGCAAAGTACAGGGAAGGTAAAACAAATCGCTTTTTAAAACACATACACAAATAAAACTAAACTCTTTTTTTTATCTGACCACAAATTATAGCCCATCAAAGTGGCTCATCACGTGGACATTTATAGCAGCCAAATAATCTAAACCAGGGGCCTGCAATCAAAATAACAAGAAGTGTCTTTTTTTAAAATTCTATTTGAGGTGTCGATCCGGCCACCGCCGGTCCACATCTCTCCAACGCCGCAATAAAGAGCTTTGTACCTCATCGGATTCCTCCGGCCTAAGTCTAAGTCACTCTGATTTTGGTTAACCACGAACACCGCCTCTTGCCGCACAGGAGCCGATGTCGTCACTCCATTTGCTCCCCGTGAGCGTCCCCCTCGCACGCTCTCCATCCCGTGGCGGCTGCCACTCCCCGCCCGGCCCTAGCGGAGCTTCGCCCTTCAGCGGCATGATCGGTAGCAGCGGCCGCTGCCGTCAGCGGCGCCTCTTCGCTCGTCCCCACGTCCCCCGCTGACGCCCGCCTTCATGACGATGGTCGTTGCCCATCGTCATCATTGACCCTTTTGATCTTTTTCACCGTTGTCATTGTTGTAGTCGTCATTGTTTTATCGTAACCTAACCATCGTCTCGTCCGACCGCAATGTGTCCCCTGGCCAACCCCCCCCTCCTCCCCACCCCACCCCCCACCACTTTTAACTTTTCTTAACTCTTTGAACGTCGGCACCATCAGCCCCCACGCGTGCGCGCTCTCTCATCATCGTCCTGTCTCGCAATTGTTCGTTTAACTTCTTCATTTGAACTTGGCTCTCGTTTCTGTGCGTTTGGCAGAACTCCACGATATCCATCGAAGACTTCCACTCGAAGCTGCAGGAGGCGACGAACTTTCCACTCAGACCGTTCGTGATTCCATTCCTCAAAGTGAGTAGTTCCCTTTTTCCGAATTTTTTGCTATTTTGCCGTTTAGTTTTTTTCCTGCGCCAAAACTTTCAACTCTCTCTGTTTTTTTGTTTTTTGTTCGTTCGTTGCGGCGGCGTTCGCCGCTCGTTGCAGAGCCTCGTGGTTTACGAAACCGGTGGCCGCACCGTGTTCACCGTTTAACAAACAAAGAAATACCGCGGGCAAATAACCGGCGATGTGGCGATCCACGTGCGCGCGACCGTCATTAGAGGCGGCGACGGCTTGGGGGGGGGGGAAAGGAGGCCTTCATCCAGCAGTGGATAGATCGTGGCCGATGATGATGACAATGACGACATCACGATGTGTTGCCCCATTCGTGATGGACCGACGCTCGCGCGTAAAAGCATAGAAAGGTCCCCATTTCTTCGTGGGCGCTCGTTTGGCGAAATAATTTGACATCTGGTTTTTGTTTTTTTCGCCGATGCCGCCGCCGCCACCGCTGCCGCCACCGCACTGCCCGGCTTGTAACTTCATTACGCAGGATTTGGGGAGGGGGGGGGCTGCGGCTAGGGGGAAGGGGTGGGGAAGAGGTAGAGATGGGGGCGACTCGCTACCGCTGATATTCCCAGCTCGCTGCCCCTAGCGTCTTTACGTACCCTCTGCTGTCTCCCACGACCTCACCGTGCATCTAGGCTCGCGCGTTTCTCATCTCCCCCACGACGCCGATGATCGCCTTTGTGTTGTGTTTCACGGAGTTCCGCGTTGAACTAGAGCCCGTGTCTAACGAACACATCATCATGAGGTCATGCTCACCGCACACAAGGAGTATATCGACCATCACGTGATCTCTGGTCATGCTCACAGCAGCGGCTTTTGGCTACTGAACAAAGGCGGTGGTCACCGCTTCATCGCGCGGCGCTTTCAGATGCGCTTCTGCGGCCGTCTGGAACGCTCTTCCCTTCCGATATCAGGAAGCCACTGGAGCTAGGCACTTTTAAATCAAATAGATTGAAAACGAATTTCTTGAGGAACTACTTTTCGTGTGTTAGTTTGTTGTCCTTCCCCCGCACCTCCGATTAGCGCGGTTGACTACGTACGGTGCGAAAGAAGTTCAACATATTTACTAACCGAGTGGGTCCTGGCAGTTCACCAGCAATGATCGAGGCCCCTGCTGACGAGACTCTGAATGTCGAAGCCGGCCCAGACTTTGGCTTGTGCTCAACCTCATGCTGCTGAAATCACGCACTCCCCCATGACGGCCGTGCAACTGATGTGATGTTTGTTAAAACAAAAAAAAAGCCCCAACAACAATAACCTCGAATTACTCACGTGGAGGGATGGACTCGTGCAGGAACACGTATCGACTACCGATTACATTTTTGATCCACGTGTTTTTATTATTTACTTTAAGCCAATCGAATCGCGTTTAGGACGGTGCTCGCACGCCGACGCATTCCATCGCAAAAGCCAGACGTTGGGGAGGTGAGGGGGGTGATGTGGGGTGGGGGGGGCAGGTAGGTGGGGGTAATATGAGAGTGGTGCTCCACACAAGACCGGTTATTTGAGTTCAGTTATTTAAGGAAACTTTTTTGCTCGGGTGGCTCACAAAGGCAGAGACGCTGCGGCGGCACCGCTGAGGATTCTGGGCGAGAATCCGTTGTTTCAGCCGTCGCGTGGAGATTTAGAGCAGCCGGATGCTCCCAAGAGCGTGGCGTCGATTCCTAAATGCGTGTGGGGAAAACCCAAAGAACCCGGAGAAAAAGCCACGCCACCACCAGAAGAGTGACACACAAACTCAAAATATACAGCAGGCGTCAGGGTCGGGGTCGAACCCACGACCACCTGTATACCAGGCGAGGGAGTTAACATCTCCCCACTGCGGTGCCCAAATGCCACGCGCAAGAGACGGAGGGAGGGAGAAACGGCGCAGCCCTTTCTAGGGTTCTCAAGAGTAGCGGGTTGATGGTCCTTGACCGGTCACCAATGACTTACACAGAGACCCACAGACTTACACAGAGACCCACAGACTTACACAGAGACCCACAGACTTACACAGAGACCCACAGACTTGCACAGAGACCCACAGACTTACACAGAGACCCACAGACTTACACAGAGACCCACAGACTTACACAGAGACCCACAGACTTGCACAGAGACTCATAGAATCTCATAGAGATCCACAAACTTCCACAGAGATCCCCAGACTCGCCCCAAATGAGTTGTGGTTAAGCCGAGTTCTCAGCGAGTGTATGGCCTCAGCCCGGTCACCAACGAGTACACAAAAAGACACACGCGTCACATTACTTGGGAAACTCTTCAAGATTAAAAAAAAAGTCTGAAGTGGTTTCCTGGCTCAAACGAGCATCGAGTGGGGGGGGGGGGGGCAAAAGGTGCCATCTCCCCCTGGGGCTTCACACAGAAAGAGAAACCCTCACAAACAGAGGCTGTGTTTTTTGTTGCTATCGAATAACGGGGGAGGGAGGGGGGGCGTGGGGGTGGGCCCTCGGGGAATTGTCCTCCACGCCTCCCTCCAGGAACCTCTGGGTGGCTCCGCTCCTAGAATTCGAGGTTGATGATGGGCAACGGAGGCCTTTCCCGGAAAATGGTATCTAAGTCTGCTCGGCCAAGAGTTCTGACGTGGAATTCCGGGCCGCAGCCCGAGGAAGAGAAATCGTCTGGGATGAATTTGGGACACGTGCCGGAAGAACTTTTACCTTTTAATTCACTGTTTCCTGAGCCACGGCAGGCGGCCAGCGACAAACGGCGCCGTTGAAGAGTTGCGGTCGGAAATCGGCCGCCGACTTCGGGTTGGCCAAGTACGCCGCAGAAATGATGGGGTGGGTAGCGTCGGGGCGACGCCACACGCGGGCAGGAGTTTGACGGATCGAGAAGATTTTAGACGTCGCGTGGCCCGATTTGAGATTTGCGTCTCTCTGGAATCGATCGGTCTGGGGGGGGGGGGGGGGGGGGGGCGCTGGGGAGGGGTGGGAGGGAGTGGCGCTTGTCCTGATCCTTCATCAAGAAGAGACGGCGGGGGTGGCGGTAGAGGAGAAACGGCGATGTCTGTCGTCCGCTGCGGATGGCCGTCATCTGGTTTGAATGACGACGACGAAAATCGGCGGCGGAGCGAGGGCCCGTGCGGCCACCGCCGCCGCCGCCATCTGCTTCTCATTCCGCCGCACGGCTCTCTCCGCCGGTGCCCCGCGCCCGACCGGCGTTGAGCGGCGGCCGCATCGGATGGGAGACGCGGGAGAGCGAGCGCGGGGAGATGGGAGTTGGGGTTGTGGGCGGGGGGGAGGGTGGTGAGTGGGGGTGTCGGGTGGAATGGAGTGTGGGGAGGGGGGCGCGCGCGGAGGATTGCGGAGGATTGGGGCAAAGGGGACGAGGGTTACGTGGGGGTACGCGGCGGTACGCGGGGGTACGTGGGGATACGTGGGGGTTCGCGAGAGTTCATTAAACAGGACAGGTGGTGTCGGCTCGGATGTCCCCTGTACCGTCCGAGTGTTTCTGCTCCTGAAATTGATCGTTGCGTTTTTTTTTTTAAGAATAGCTACAGGGTAAAAGCGCGGCCCTGCAATTGCTCGCTTGCCTCACTGCCGGTGGAAGGGCCGACCACCGGAGGGAGCTCTAGAGAACCCATCAGTGGTGGGGGAGGGGGGGTTGGGGGGGGGTATTTTGGTCTAACTCTGAAATGAAGGTTGACAACCGGTGGATCGTTCCCCACTGCCCTCTTTTGTGCAAGATCTTGGAGGCCCACATTAATGTGGAAATCTGCAATGTTGTGAAAGCCATCAAATATGTTTGCAAATACATCAACAAAGGCTCTGACATGGCTGTCTTTGCCTTACAAAAATAGGGCCAAAGTGTGGATGAGGTTAAACTTCTTGTCCAAGGAAGATACATCAGCAGCAATGAGGCCATTTGGATCATTCTTGGCTTCCCCATCCATGACCGTTCCCCCACAGTCGTCCATTTGGCAGTTCACCTCGAAATGGTCAACGCATCTACTTGACCGAAGGAAATGCCCAACAGCAGGCCCTGGCTCCACAAGATACCACCGTGATGGCGTTCTTTGTTTTGTGCCAAAGTGACCCATTTGCTGCCAACCTGCTCGACCATTAAGTTCCCTCCTACTCATAATCAACGATTTTTGGGTTTAGATCGCGTTTATTTATAAATGTGTCGTAACCCTCCACCACCCGACACGGCCAATCAGTAAAAAATGTGTCACGTTGACAAAGACAAATAGTTCACTGCTTTAGCCCACCGGTGTGTTGAATCAACAACATTTACAATTTGCCATTCTGGCGAATTGCTGGTTGCAATTACCAGCGAAACGTCGTACTCAAATTGTAAATGTTGTTGCTTCAACACACCGGTGGGCTAAAGCAGTGAACTATTTGTCTTTGTCAACGTGACACATTTTTTACTGATTGGCCGTGTCGGGTGGTGGAGGGTTACGACACATTTATAAATAAACGCGATCTAAACCCAAAAATCGTTGATTATGAATAACATTGGTCGCGAAAGCCTACGTGTTCCCTCCTACTATACATGGATTGCTAAAAAGCAAATGGAAACGGGCTGGTGATGGTGAATCTGATGCCTTAGGAAGAGTCTACACAGTTCACCCCAACAATCACAAGTGCTACTTTCTCCGAATGCTTCTCCATGTTGTCAAATGGTCCAAATCTTTCATAGACCTCAAAACAGTGGGAAGAGTTGTCTGTCAAACATACAGAGAGGCTTGCAATGTTCAAGGAATTATTGAGGATGATCAGCATCTTGATAAAGCTATGACAGAAGCTTCTGTTAGGGGGACTGACTCCTCTTCTCAGCTGAGATTGCTCTTCTGCATAATTCTTTAAGTTTGCAGTCCATCCAACCCCATGGGACTGGCAACAATACAAAGAGGGACATGTGTGAAGACATCCTCCACAGAGCTCTACGAGAAAATACAAACTCCGACGTCACCTTTTCTGATGTCATCTTTAACCAGGACCTCATCCTCCTTGAAGACAAACTTCACTCCATTGGTGGAAAAGACCTCACGCCTATTGGACTACCAACACCCGACACGGACAACCTGCATGCCCTTGCTCAAGGACAATCTTTTGCAGTGGTGTGACTGATTTTGAAATCTCCGTGCTTTTCTCATGGCCAACTTTATGTTGGATGCTCTCGTGTAGACAATGACAAATATTTACATTACTTTGCACCAGCAGGCAAGACCAGAAACATTGTTTACAAAGAGGCTCTTTGATAGAGAGGTGCGACTCAGCAATAAGTGGCAGTTTCGTTATTTTGGAGAGGCTCTATTTTGTGTTTCATTTCTTTGGAGAGGCTCTTGCTTTGGTTGGGGGCACGACTCCCCTCCCACGTGTGCTGCTTTACCCCACGCCTGCTGGGGGACAGTTCGGCTGTCGGCCGGTGCTCGCTGAGCTGCGCTCACACCTCACCGCCCCGTGCGGCCTTCACATCGCTTCCTTCCCGGGTCTCCTGTCTGCACCCGCACCTGCCGGCCACCATTTCGGCGGCCTGGCTGCCAGCGACTGTTCGTGACGGCGCTCATGCAGCGCGGCTTCCTCGTCGTCCCACATCTCATCGCTCCATCCCCAAGTCTCCTGCCTGCCTCCGTGCCTGCCAAGTGTCCTGTCGGCGCTCTGGCTGCCAGCGGTTGTTTGCGGCACCGCCCGTGCGCTGCTCTTATTTCGCCTCGGCCATTACCTGCCCTCTCTCCCTTCTCCCCATTCACCCCATTTATGCATTACAAATTATAGACCGTCTGTGCTTCCTCAAGCGCCTTACGCCAGTACTATTTAAAACAACAGTAATAAAGACTACGGCACAAATACTTACGTCTTTTGATACCATTAACCATTTACTTATGACTCATAGCATTCAATACAAGACAAAGGCATATCATACAAGTTAAGTATGACCCTCACCTTCGATTACAGTGTGCTGATCCTCAAAGGTGCATTAACAATTGTTTGCATTGTCCCTCTTCCTTGGTTCTTTCCTTAACATGACATACATAGAAAACTAATCTTTAAAAACTGTATGCAAATAGAAAAGTTCAAATGTGTGTGTGCAAGTCGATGTCTGTGTGTGTAAGTCCATGTGTGTGTGTTAGTCAATATGCGTGTGTGTAAGGCCATGTGCGTGTAGGTCAATGTGTGTGTGAGTCTATGTATGTGTGTGTGAGTCGATGTGTGTGTGTGTGGGTCGATGTGTTTGTATGTGTGGGTCGATGTCTGTGTGTGTAAGTCGATGTGTGTGTGAGTCTATGTATGTGTGTGTAAGTCGATGTGTGTGTGTTAGTCAATATGCGTGTGTGTGTAGGTCAATGTGTGTGTGGGTCGATGTCTGTGTGTGTAAGTCGATGTGTGTGTGTGTGGGTCGATGTGTTTGTATGTGTGGGTCGATGTCTGTGTGTGTAAGTCGATGTGTGTGTGGGTCGATGTCTGTGTGTGTAAGTCGATGTGTGTGTGGGTCGATGTCTGTGTGTGTAAGTCGATGTGTGTGTGGGTCGATGTCTGTGTGTGTAAGTCGATGTGTGTGTGGGTTGATGTCTGTGTGTGTGTAAGTCGATGTGTGTGTCCGGGCAACGCCGGGTACTTCTCACTAGTAACAAATAAGATTGGCGGACAACACATCTCCTTCGCGTATCCGTCTCTCCGGATAAAAAAACAAAGAAATTTTTTTATTTATTTCACAACCCAAAGGCCCTCTCCTGCGAAGTGCACGATTTTAGCAGCGTTGATTCAGAACGGAGAACACTCTGGACCGGGTTTCACACGCGGCGTCTCGCGAGCAGCGTCGGGCTTGCTTGCGGCATCGATGCAGGTGAACTGCCAGGGGTTACGGGCAAGAGGCCACCCCTCTCTCTCTCTCAGATACGGGTCCTTGAGATACCGAGAGACACAGACGGCGCACGAATGGCCGTGGAAACCGAGAGGTGCAGACAAGAGAGGGAGGTGTGGTGAAACGAGAGATGCAGATGACTTACTCCGGCATGGGCGTTCGCTATTTCGGCCACGAGCCCCCACCACCCTCTCCCTGCCGGAGAACGTCTCCGGCACACGGTGTATCATCAGCAGCGGCGGCGGCGGATTCTCGGCAAGCGATGCATCACCAACGTCGCCTTTTCCCTGTATGACGTCCGTCACGTTTGCTTGGTTGTGTGTGTGCGTGTGCAGGCCAACCTGCCGCTGTTGCAGCGGGAGCTGATGCTCTGCGCTCGCCTGGCCAAGCAAAGTCCCTCGCAGTACCTGGCGCAGCACGAGCGGCTGCTGCTGGAGGGGGTCCCGCACGGCGGCGGCGGCGGCGGGGAGAGCCACTCGCCGGTCGGCGCCGAGGTCACCGATGTCACCGTCGGGGAGGTCAACCAGAACGGGAAGCGGCGCGCGATGGACAAGTATGAGCGGCGTGTCCGTGCGTCTGTCTGCGCGTCGTCCAGCGTGTGTGTTCTGTGCGCTGCGATGGTGCAGCGGTTAGCGCCCGGCGCTACGAACTCGCCGACCCGAGTTCGATTCCCTGTCACGGCCAACGCCAGTGACGATTATTCGAACCAGGTCCTGGGCCTCCCCGAGGTCAGTTGAGCCTCAAATGAGTACCTGGTGCGGTATGTAGTAAACATCGCCACTGGGGAGACAAAGGCTGCTGGACGTGGTGCTGGCCCACCCACCCCCTCGTGTGCCGTGCCGGCCTTCATAGGTCCTCGCTAACAGCACTTGCCCCAACAGTCCGTTACAGACTATACGGGGCATCTTTGTTTTGCTGCACTAGGAAACCAGCAACCCGAGTTCAATTCCCGCTCATAGTCACCAACAGCAGCAGTGACGATTATCTGAACCGGTTCTGGGCCTCCTCTAAGTCAGCACAGCCTCAAATGAGTGCCTGATGCGGTGTGTAAACATCGACACTGGGGAGACAAAGGCGGCCGGGCGTGGTGCTGGTCACCCACCCCCTCGTGTGCCGGTGCCGGCCTTCAGACGTGCTACTCGCTGACAGCACTTGCTCCGACAGTCTATTAAGGCTATACGGGGGATCTTTGTCTCGTGATGAAACATGTCTTGTGTGGATGTGTTGTCTGTGATCAACTGTGTGTGTGAGTGATCAAACGTGTGAGTGTCTATGCGTCTGTGGGCGAGCGGGTATTGGAATCGTAATGAAAAATGCAGGGGCGTAAAATGTGTGACACTTTGTGGAGATGCGTGTGACACTCGCTCGCTGCCACATGCTAACAGCAGCTATTGTCGTGATGAGTGCGCGCGCTTGTGCGTGTGCGCGTGTGTGCGCGTGTGTATGTGGGGAGCGGTGGTGCAGTGGTTAGCGCGCTGCGCTACGAACCTGGCGACCCGAGTTCGATTCCAGCTCACGGCCAACACCCAGTGGCTATTATCTGAACCGGTCCTGGGCCTCCCCTAGGTTGACTCGGCCTCAAATGAGTAACTGGTGCGCTGTGTAAACATCGCCACTGGGGAGACAAAGGCGGCCGGGCGTGGTGTTGGCCACCCATCCCCCTCGTGTGCCGCATCGGCCTTCGTAGGTGCTCGCTAACAGCACTTGCCCCAACAGTCTGTTACACGTGCGTGTGCTCCAAGCAAAGGTTGTTGTTGTCTTTGTCATCGACATGCGCACACAGACACACACACGTGCGCAGCATGGGTACAATCACACATAGACGCGCTCGCATGCATGCGTACACATTGCGTCCGCACACTGACGCACACACGCACAAATGCGGACTTACACGCATGCACACGCACGCACACCGCACGCACACATCCAGCAGTGGAAATTTGAACCGAGCGACGCACGCGCAATCCCACACGTCCCGCCCGCCCTTTGTCTAAATGACGTCACGTGACCATCCGACGCCTGCCGTGAAGCCGACGGCGCGGAGCGTATCCGGCCCAACCGGGGCCGGCCGCGGGGTTTAGACCGCGACGAACCTCGGCGACGGGACGGCGAACGCGCGACCGCCGGGCCCGTCGCCGCTGCCCCCGGCGCTGTCCTCACCGCCGCCCTCCCTGTTGCCCTCCAGGATGAAGGGGGCGGCCCTGGAGGGGATCGTCGCTTCTCCTCCTGACGCGGCGGTGGCGGCGGTGGCGGCGAAGCGTGCCCGCGTGCTCAGCCCCATACTTCACCGATTCAGCCCCGGGGCCAACGGCCTCCCCGCCGGCGTCCGTACGCCAACCAGTGGGTTAGAGACGCCGGGCGGCGGTGGCATCGGCATCGGCGGCGGTAATCTCCTTCACCTGGGACACGTCTCAACGACCACCAATGGGGTTGCAGCTCCGAGCCACCACCACCACCAGCAGCAACAGCATCAGCATCATCATCATCCGCAGCAGCATCTGCAACAACAACAACAACAACTTCATCATCATCAGCAGCAGCATCAGCAGCAGCAGCAGCATCACGTGACCTCGCCAGGCGTACCGGGGTCGCCGGCGACGGTGGGCCTGCGGTACGCGGCGGACGATGCGACGAGGGAGGGCTACGGCGCCCGGCATCACCACGTCGCCGACGGGAGGGAGAGCGGCTCCGAGAGACGGAGAGCGCTGATGGGTAAGGAGGAGGAAGAGACCCCGGCAGCACTAGCGGTGGCAGCAGCAGCAGCGTTCGTAGCAGTTGCAGTAACGGGAGTAGCGGCAGGAGTAGTAGCAGTAACAGCAGCATCAGCACAATGTTATCACTTCCGTCATCATCATCATGATTGTCTGCCAGCCAAGTCGCCCTTGAAAAAGGGGTTCTTAAAAAAACTTTGATTCTGATTAACATCATGACCACCACCATCATCACTACCAATAGCATCATCACCCCCCACCACCACCATCATCATCAATACCACCACCATCCTCTCCCTCCTGTGAAAGGGCAGCACCGTGAACCCCGTGTGACCCCCGTGCGACCCCCGTGCGACCCCCGTGTGACGCCGTGTGACCCCCGTGTGACCCGTGTGACCCCGTGTGACCCCGTGTGACCCCCGTGTGACCCCATGTGACCCCCGTGTGACCCCGTGTGACCCCCGTGTGACCTCCGTGTGACCCCGTGTGACCCCGTGTGACCCCGTGTGACCCAGGTCTCCACGGAGCTAGGCCTCAGGACGTGGTCGACCACCGGCTGACGGATCGCGAGTGGTCCGAGGAGTGGAAACACCTGGACAATGTGAGAGCCTCTCTTCACCGCGGTCACCACCACCACAATTACAACCTTCATCACCGGCACCACCAGCACAATTACAACCGTTGTCACGAGCACCACCGCGTCTACCATCAACACCAGCACCACCACCACAGTGGCGAGATGTTGACTACCTCGTCTGGTATACAGGAGGTCGTGGGTTCGATCCCGACCCTGACGCCTGCTGCTGTGTATTTAAAGTTTGCATGTCTCTCTCTCTCTCCCGTGGTCGCGTGAATTTTTTTCCGGGTCCTCCAGTTTAGCCCCACCGCATTTAGAATCAACATCACGCGTTTAGAGTATTTGTCTGCTATAAATTTCCACGTGATAAGCCACTTCATTGGGCTATCACTTATGGCCAGGTCGCTTACAAAAAAGAGATATACAGCTCGATGGGTCTTACCTGGTAAAATAAAATAGTTTATAGTTTAGTTTAATTACAACTCTTATCACCCGCACCACTGCCTCCACCTCCACTACCACAATCACCACCATAATCACAATCATAACCACCACGCTCTTAACCACCGCCAGTACCACAATCTCAACCTCCGCCGCCACTGGTACCACTGCTGCAATCGCTACAGGCTATGGTTTTATGGATGGGGCCTTCTCACGGCAGTTGTCACAGGTGCTCGCTAACGGCACTTGCCCCAACAACCTGATAGAGGCTACACTGGGTTGTTTATCTCTGTTTGTGCACGTGCGCGTGTGTGTGTGTCCTGGTGCGGTGTGTAAACATCGCCACTCAGGAAACAAAGTCGGCCAGGCGTGGTGCTGGCCACCCACCTCCTCGTGTGCCGTGCCGGCCTTCATAGGTGCTACTCGCTAACAGCACTTGTCGCAACAGTCTGTTAAGGCTATACGGGGGATCTTTTTTATTTTTGTGTGTGTCCACCTGCGCCCGCGTGTGTGCATGCGCGTGTGTGTAAGCATCTCTTTGGGGAGCGGTAGCTTCGTGGTTATCGGACCGCATTACGAACCTGGCGCGACCCGAGCCCGAATTCCCGCTCATCGTCAACATCGGCGACGAATATCTTAACCGGTCCTGACCTAGGTCGACTCGGCCTTAAATAAGTACCTGATGCGGTGTGCAAACATCGCACCAGTGTCGTGCCTTCGTAGGCGCTACTCTCGCTGACAGCACTTGCCCCGACAGTCTGTTGAGGCTACACGGGGGATCTCTGTCTCTGTCCACGCCTGTGCCGCAGCTGCTGAACTGCCTGCTGGACATGGTGGAGAAGACGCGGCGAGCGCTCACCGTCATGCGCCGCTGCCAGGAGTCGGACCGCGAGGAGCTGGCGCACTGGGCCCGGCGGTACGGGGACAGCGAGGAACTCCACAAGGGTGAGCCGCCCGCCCGCTCACTCGCTCGCTCGCTCGCTCGCCCACCCGCTCGCTCGCCCGCCCGCTCACAAACCGGATCGCTTGATGGCTCGCTCATTCACTCGCCATCTCGCTCATCCATTCGCTCGCTCACCGGATCGCTCACTCGCTCACTCATTCACTCACCGTCTCGCTCATCCATTCGCTCTCTCCACACGCTCGTTCATTCCCTTACTCATATCAGTGCTCGCTCGCTCACCCCTTTACTCATTTACCCAATCACTCACTCACTCGCCTGCTCACCGTTCTCTTCACGCGCTCGTCTCGCTCGCTGAGGCTAGCCATGGCTGAGAATCGAACCCGCGTGGTTGGGCTTATAGTGCAGTGCGCTAACCACTGCGCCACCGCTCCACGGAACAAACAACACCGATCGAACGAGACCAAAAACCACACACGCAAGCGATTTGGCGCAAACGTCACCATGGAGAATCGAGCCTTGGGTTCCATACGAGAGGGTGGCGGTCGGTGTCGGCTCCTCGGGGATCCTGGGAAATTGTTGCGCTGCGAGGTTCGCTGTTCCGGCCCCACGGCCATCCCGGTTACAACCGCGGGGAGCGATGCACCGCGCGGCGTTGCCGCAAGTCCCCCTTGAACGTAAGAGGGCGGCCAACGTGTAAGCCGGAGTCACGGCGCCCAAGTCCACCAGATGTGCAAATCTTAACGCCGCAAGATGCGCTCGGTTGGGAACAACCCCAGATGGCAATTTCGCGCCCCTCCCGTGAAAACCACTGCGGACCGTCGTGCATGTGTGTGCGGAAACACAGCGGCTCCCTTCGCGATGACCGCCTTTGAGTGTCGCGAATAATAATACTACTAATGGTGATGATGAACAAATAATATATATAATTATTATTTGTTTTTCGATCGAACTTTGTACCCGGGGCTCCATGCCACGGGAAGGGGAGTGGAGTGCGTTGAGGCAAGAGGGCAGCAGACAACGGGGGGGGGGGGGGGGGGGGGGGGGGGGGGGGGGGGGGGGGGGGGGGGGGGTCTTGCTCATGGTGGGGAGCGGTGGGAAGGAGCAGGGCGGGGAGACGGAGAAGGGATGACTGGGCCAATGAAGAGTGGTGGTGACGATGGTGAGAGGGTGGTGATGATGATGAGAGGGTGGTGATGATAATGATGATGAGAGGGTGGTGATGATGATGAGAGGGTGGTGATGATAATGATGATGAGAGGGTGGTGATGGTGATGAGAGGGTGGTGATCATGATGACAGGGTGGTGATGATGATGATGAGAGGGTGGTGGCGACGATGAGAGGGGAAAGAGGAGAGGGAGAAGAGACAAGGAAGGAAGAGCGAGCAGCGAGTGAGCTGCACGGAGGAGCGGAGTCTGTTTTCACAGGGGGCGGCGGTGGGGAGAGGGGGGAGGGGTTCAGAGTGGGAGTGGCCACACAGAAGCCACGTGGTTTACGGGAGGCTTGAGCCAATTTGGAGATAGAGCACCTGTCACAAGAAGAGCAGATGTGCTACTCACGATGCGACCGCTCGATTTGACCCCGACCTCATTATCTATTATATTATTCAGTCTTCCGTTTGCATCGTCATCGTTTTTCAACTTTTCAATCAAAATCCACTCGCTGATTCGATACACCGCGGGCCCGTTCGTTCGCGTGTTCGTTCATTCACTGAAGCGATTCGCCCGCGCGTTCATTTGCTCGCTCGTTCACCAATAAGTTTGACGCTGACGTTCAACTCCGTCACTTCGTTTTGTCGGCCCAACAACGAACTCACGCCGTGAATTCGTTCGTTGGTCGACTCTGCCCCCCCCTCCCTCCCACCTCCACCCCTCCCCACCCCCTCCCACCCCCTCCCACCTCCACGCCTCCCCACCCCCTCCCACCTCCACCCCTCCCCACCCCCCCGCGCATCGCCATCGCAGACGCGGGCCGCGAACTCGGGGCCCCCCGGTCATCTCCCGCGTTCGTTCCGGACGAGATCTGGAGGAAAGCCGGTGAGCGAGACCTCCACCCCCCCAAATCCCCCCCCCCATCCCCCCCCCAACTCCCCCATATCCCCCCCACTCTCCCATCCCCCCCCCCACCCCGGTGCCCCCCACAACAGAGCCCCCCATGACAGAGCCTCCCACGATAGAGCCCCCCATGACAGAGCCTCCCACGATGGAGCCCCCCACAACAGAGCCCCCCCCCCACAATAGAGCCCCTCGCGATAGAGCCCCCCGCGACAGAGCCCCCCGCGACAGAGCCCTCCGCAGTCCCCTGCCATCCTCTTGTTTGTCCCCCATCCGGTGACAGCCCCTGTGAGCGGCTGCAGAGACTCTGAACCCCGTGACCCCTTGACCCCTTGACCTGTTCCGAGACGTCTGCAAGTCGCCGGGTGTGGGGGTCACGGTCACCGCCGAATCTCGGAACGCGCGAGCGGTTCGGCGTTAATTCTGTTCAGGGAGGAGCAGTCGCGCCGCTGTTTGTAATGACGTTGCTGCACGGCACTCGCCGCAGAGAACCGTAGCGACGCGACCACACTCCACGATAGCTGCCGCCAAACCGTGCCACACACCTGCCCGCCGCATGGCCTTGTGGGAGCCTCGGTACCGGTAACGTTATTCTATTTTATTCTTCAGATTACGTTCCGGTGACGTACACGGACGTCATCGGAAAGGGAAAGGGTTAAGGTCGGAGTTGAAGAGGAGATCACGGATGACGGTGGTGATGTTCACGCCATCACATTGCTTCTTTCCATCTGCCAGACCCCCCCCCCCACCCCGTAGTTGGATATGGATGCCCCTCCCACCAATAAATATGCCGCCCCCCCTTCCCCCATCCAAATTAATTTAGTAGATTCGCCACCATCTGGCCAAGGAGCTTTCCCTGGTTTGATAAAGTTGCACGCACGCTTGGGCTCACGCTGAGAGAAGCAGGGACAGGAGCAAATGCATGCATGCATGTACGTACGTTGAACCTCTTTCGCACCGTACGTAGTCAACCGTGCTCAGCGGAGGTGCGAGAGCGCGCGCGCGCATCCACGCTCTCTCGCTCGCGACGTCGTGTGGACGTCGTGTGGACGTCGTGTTGACTGTCAGGCGCGGTGAGTGGGGTCTCAGGCAGGATGCGTTGCGCGCTCCCGAGTGGACGGTCAACGAGGGAGATGCGGCGACGAAATCGACGGCCGTGCAGGTGCTGGAGATGGATGGTTGCATCACAAGACCGCGAGGGATAGTGACAATTCTAGATTTGAAGCTTTCGTGACTGCAAGGATTCATATTCTTAGGTTTTTTTTTTCGGTAAAGTCACGTAGGTAAAAAATTAAAATTTATAAAAGTAAAATAAAAATAAAAATCACGACGTTTCGGAGGCAACACAAGCTTCATAGTGACAACTTGGATATCCGATAATTTGGGGCAACGTTAAGCTAACGTTACACGTTTACTGGGTAGGTCAAGGTGAACGATGATGATGATGATGATGACGTCTACTCAGTACAGTGGCAAATCATTTCAACGTTAGAACCATTTCGGTCGGCATGTTGAATTAAAAAAAACAATTGTCTGTTATTTTCTGACGGCGACGCTGGAAATCTCTGCCATCTTTTAACTGCGAAAAAATAAATGGCAAACGAAACTCAAAACGATTCTTTTTTTAAAATCTCTCCGACCGCCCAGAAAAGAGAAAAAAAAAACGAAAACAACCCCCCCTCCCACTGCCCCAGATGTCCGCGCCATCTGATGCGGGCGCTGTAATTTCAGCGCAATTGATTTAAAGTCGTTTGCGCCCACGTGTCTTTAATTGAGTCTGCGCGCGCGTAATGGGATTGCATTTGGGTTGGATTGTTAGTGGAGAGGGGGGGTGGATAGTGGGGTGGTGGCGGGGGGGAAGTGTCTGGGGGGAAGGGGGGGGAGGCACGGGCGGGGGCACGCATCTGTCAACAACAACAGCTTACGCTTATAATTCACCCGTAACGTAAACAAACGCGTGAGAGCGCAGACAATACGGAGGAGGAAACGGGCCCGGGTAGGAGCGACGGAGAGTGAGCGAGAGAGTGACCGAGAGAGTGAGCGAGAGAGTGAGCGAGAGGTGGGGGTTTTACATAAAGCTAAGTTAAAAAATGTAAAAAAAAATAACGAAATGATGAACGAAGCAAAGTGCCGAATACACCGAGCATCTTCTTGTTTCCACTGATCGTAAAAAAAAAGGAGCAATCGTCCACTTCGCACCAGAGCGGAGAGTGGGCGACTGACCCTGATCCCCCCCCCCCCAGGCCCCCGCCCCTGCTGGGCATTCGTGAAAAATAGAGCTTCATAGCTCATCGGATTCCTCCTGTGGTCCAAAATAAAAAAAACGATTCTGATTCTGACCTGTGGGAAACGTGTTAAACCCGGCCACCATCATAAGGGCCACTGTCGTGAAAACGCCACCAAAGTACGGCAAAATACCCCGGCTCACGGCGGGTGTGGTAGGGCTGGGTGGTGCGTTCCTGAACGGTGCGACGGTGATTATTGAAACGACGGCAATGGATCGAAGCGATTTAACATGGGTAGTAGTAGCAGTAGTGGGTGGTGGTAGTAGTGGGTGGGTGGTGGTGGTGGTAGTAGTGGGTGGTGGTGGTGGTAGTAGTGGTGGTGGGTGGTGGTAGTGGTGGTGGGTGGTGGTGGTGGTAGTAGTGGGTGGTGGTGGTGGTAGTAGTGGTGGGTGGTGGTGGTGGTGGTAGTAGTGGGTGGTGGTGGTGGTGGTGGTAGTAGTGGTGGGTGGTGGTAGTAGTGGTGGTAGTAGTAGTAGTGGTGGGTGTTGGTGGTGACGGCTGAGAGGCAACGGAGAGCGAGTGAGGAACGGACGATGCTGCCATCAGCGTCGTGCGCGTGTGCGGGTTGAGGCGACGCAGCTCAAGGCAGCGGCGGCGTTGATAATAAAGCGACGACGAACTTGCAAAAACGACCTCAAAGGGGGAGACGTAAAATCGGGGTTATCAGTGTACGACTGACAATGGCAGCCAAGCACTAGTCGCACCGTTGTACGTTCCTGTATGTGTGCGGCCAATGAGAGCGGGTCGCTTGATTAGCCCCACTCATTTCTCACGGTGATCACGTAACCCACTGTGTTAAACTGACTAACGTGGCAGAGTAGGATCTTTCGATTTAAAGCTTTCGTGACTGCAGGGATTCATCTTCTTGGTTCTTTCGGTAAAGTCACGTAGAATGGAAATAATAAAATAATAAAAATAAAACATGATAAAATTTCGATTTAAAGCTTTCGTGACTGCAGGGATTCATCTTCTTGGTTCTTTCGGTGAAGTCACGTAGAAGGGAAATAATGAAAGAATAAAAATAAAACATAATAAAATAATTCTCACGACGTTTCGGCCACAACGCAAGCAGCCGTCCTCAGCTGTCTGAAGACGCTGTCTTCCCGACAGACCTGTTCTTCACCTGAGGACGGCTGCTTGCATTGTGGCCGAAACGTCGTGAGAATTATTTTATTATGTTTTATTTTTATTCTTTCATTATTTCCCTTCTACGTGACTTTACCGAAAGAACCAAGAAGTAGGATCTTTGCCAATGTTTGTCTTTGTGTAGGGGATTGTGAATGTGATGGGTCTCCATGGCGGGAGGAGGTCATCTGCATCTCTCGTCTCTGCACACCTCCCTCTCTTGACGACACCTCTCGCATTCCACGACCATTCCTGCGCCGTCTTTGTCTCTCGGTAGCTCAAAGGACAAATATCTGAGAGAGAGAGAGAGGGGTGGCCTCTTGCCCGCTGAAGGCCGCGGGGATGATGGGTTGTGAACGGAACTGGACATCTGTGAAACTCTGGACACGCGTGAAAAAGAGCTTATATGGCTCATCGGATTCCTCCAGTATAAATATTCTGATTCTGCAGGAACGCTTTTTGTAAAAATATATATTTCAACGCGGCGTGACGGATTTGTGAAAGGGACATTGCCCGCTCATCTGTTTAGTAGCCCTCTTCTCTCATCTCGTCTTCACACGGCTCTCTCTCTCGCTTCCTTTCTCTCTCTCTCTGTCTCTTTTGTGGTCGTACACCACTTCGCTCGGTCATCTCACTCAGGAGTTTAGAAATTGGCCGAGGGATTACTCAGCTACAGGGCAACCCCCCCCCCCCAGCAGTTGATTCTGTGAGGTTGTGGGGGGGGGGGAAGTAGTGGGGGGGTAGTGGGGGGATGTGGTGGAGTGTAGCTAATTATGTAGATGTTTCTGTGTGTGTGTGTATGTACTGGAGAGTGGGGAGCGGTAGTGTAGCGGTTAGCGCTACGCTGCACTACGAACACGGCAAACACCAGTGACGATTATCTGAACCGGTCCCGGGCCTCCCCTAGGTCGACTCAGCCTCAAATTAGTACCTGGTGCGGTGTGTAAACATCGCCGCTAGGGAGACAAAGGCGGTCGTGCGTGGTGCTGGCCACCCACCCCCTCGTGTACCGTTCCGGCCTTCATAGGTGCTCGCTAACAGCACTTGCCCCTACAGTCTGTTAAGGCTATACGGGGGATCTTTATCTTTATGTACTGGACAATGCAGCTGTGGGGAGCGGTGGTGCGCTCCGAACCCGGCGACCCGGGTTCGATTCCCGCTCACGGCCAAACACCGGTGCCGATTATTTGAACCGGTCATGAGCCTCCCCCTAGGTCGACTCAGCTTCAAATGAGTACCTGGTGCGGTGTGTAAACATCGCCACTGGGGAGACAAAGGCGGCCGGGCGTGGTGTTGGCCACCTACCCCCTCGTGTGCCGTGCCGGCCTTCATAGGTGCTGCACTCTAACAGCACTTGCCCCAACAGACTGTTAAGGCTACACGGGGGATCTTTGTACACTGCAGTTCAGTAGAAGGCGGTGGGGCGGGGGATCTATTGACCCCCCCCTCCCCCCCCCAGCTTGGCAGACCGGCGCATCGGGATAGCCGGCGGCTCGCGAGCTAATTTCATGATACAGGTTGAGGGATGACTCGGCCCATCATCCCTTCGGGGTCGATAAAGTGAGTAGTGTGGTGGGGAAGTCCACAGAGGGGTGGTCTTACGGATAGACTCACACCTCGCCATGGAGATGTGGAATTTCCACCACTGGCTTTTGCCTCAATGCTCATTTGAGGCAGGAAATCACTTTGATGGTTTTTAGCTGCCTGGAGGCAAACAGAACTCAAACCTTGACTGCTCTTTCTGTTTGTTCCTCGCCCATCGTCAACATCATCACCATCGTCCTCACCATCGTCATCATCGTTACTGGCGTTAATCATTGTCACCGTCATCTTCGTCGCCATGGTCACCACCATCGTCACCATCGTCGTCGTCCTCGTCATCGCGTGAAGAGGAGGCTGTGAACGAGGTGAAGCGCCAGGCGGTGACGGAGCTGCAGAGAGCCATGGCGGACTCGGAGCGCAAGGCGCACGAGCTGATCGTGACGGAGCGAGCCAAGATGGAACGGGTGCTCGCCGACGCCAAGAGGCAGGCGCTTGAGGACGCCGCCTTGATCGTCCTGCAACAGGACGACTCGACCGAGGTGCGGCGCCCGCTCGCCCGTTCGTTCGCTCGCCCGGATGCTCGCTCGTCCACTCGGCCGCTTGCTCACCCGTTGGCTCGCCCGCTCGCTCACCCACTTGCCCGCTCCCTCTCGTGCTGAGCTAAGCCACCTTGTGCCTTATCGCTCAACCGCTCACTCACCCGCTCGTTTACCCGCCCACCCACCCGCTCGCGTGCTCACCCACTTGCCCGCTCACCCGCTTGCCCGCTCCCTCGTGTGCTGAACTATGCCACCTTGTCCCTTATCCCCTGGGCTACAGCTCCCTGCGAGCATCCCCTCTGCCCCTCTTAATTAATTTGTTCATTCTCGTTATTTCACGTTTCGATCCGCTCATTCAACCAAGTCGATATTTCGTTGGCTTGTTTGTTCACGCGTTCATTCATTCACGAATTAAATCCCTTGTTGGTCCATTCACGAATGCATTTATTTGCTCGTTCACTTATTCGTCCATTCACTCATCTCTTCGTGAGAATGTCTCGCTCCGATTTCCTCCCACATGTCAACACTCGTTAAATTGGCCGAAAACTTCTCGGTATGTATCAGAGGTCGCAAACGGGTTTTGATTGCTTACCCGTATCCGTACCCGGCCGCACCAGGGTCGCAAACGGTTACCCGCACCCGTACCCGGCCGTACCCGTACCCTACCCGTACCCGGCCGGGTACGGGTAGGGTACGGGTATCGGGTACCCGATTGCGACCTCTGGGATGAAGCCTTGTTGCAGGCGCGGGTGGGTTGATTCTAGGAACTTGAATTTTGAGAAGAGACAAGACGTTGGGAAATGAGTGACAAACGGTGACTCACCAGTGACTCACGGCCTACCCGTACCCGTACCCAGCTGCACCAGGGTCGCAAACGAGTACCCGTACCCGGCTGGGTACGGGTAGCCGGCTGGGTACGGGTAGCCGGGTATCGGGTAGGGTATCAGGTACCCGGTTGCGACCTCTGGTATGTATGCTACCGTGGAGCTTGGGCAATTGGTGGCACCAGCTCACGCGCCAGTCTGCCTTCTCGCTTGTCTGTGGCTCCTCGCCTCTCCGTGTCGTTCTCTCTCTCCGAGAGTGAGCGAATGACGTTGTGCGCGTTACAAGTTGAAATAATGATTATTATTATTACAGAGCCCATGCGTGTACGTGATTATTTTCTTTCTTCCCCCGTTTTTCGCCCCCGCCGCCGTTTGTTCCGCTGCAGAGCTGCTGGAACTGCGGGCGCAAGGCGAGCGAGACCTGCAGCGGCTGCAACTCGGCGCGCTACTGCGGCGCGTTCTGCCAGCACAAGGACTGGGAGCGCCACCACCACGTGTGCGGTATGGCGCAGCACAAGAAGCTGTCCCAACAGCAGCAGCAGCAGCACCACCACCAGCAGCAGCAGCAGCAGCAACAGCAGCAGCAGCATATTCCCGAGGCGATGTCTACGGAACCGCCATCCCCAAGTATCTCGCCAGGTCCTGGAGGAGGGTCGCCTGCAAGCGTGGTCAAGATTCAGTCGGGCACCCCGAGACCGGCCACTCCGGACGACTCGGTCGTGGTCGAGCCAGGGTCCTGCTAAGTCGCCCATGGAAACTGTTGCCTACTTTTAAGGCCTTGCATTTTTTTTCGTCAATTTTAATTTTTGTTTGGAGTTTTACGACGGTGGATCGAATGTTACAGAAGCTTTGCAGTTTTACCCGCTCGCCCTCCCGTCCCTTTGGCGGTTTGCGATTACTTTACAATCTGATCATTTTATAATCTGATTCTTTTATGCATTTGGTGAGGCTCACACCCGCTGAACGCTACGCAGTAAAACAACAATGACACGTGCGTGATTCGAGCCGTCGCCCGCCGCTTATAAAGTATGCGCGACACTCGATTTAAATCGATGAAAAGCATTTTTTTTTTATTAAAGCTAATTTTTTTTTTTACATTTATTGTGGCGTCCAACAGATTTCTGATTTAAAAAAAGGGGGTGGCTGGGGAAGTATTATTTTGATATTCATAACAAAAAATAATTGGTGCAGAAATCCACCAACCAGGTGGGGGGGGAGGGGTTCAGAAAAAAAAAACAGAAATATTTCTGCTGTTTCCGTTTGGACGTCTTCCACAAAACGGTGGTGAAATGGTGACAACAACAGCAACAACAACAACAACGACAAAACCCCAACGTCGAAAGCAACGAAGGTGTTAATGGTGGAGTTTTTTTTTTTACTTAAAAAATATACGAACGAACGAGATGGCTTCACCGCAGGGACGCGCGTTTTGCGTTCAATGGGAGCGGGGGACTTGATGGCTTATTTCACCTTTCTACCCGTGGGACGGCAGCAAAGCGATGGAGACGGGGGGGGGGGGGAAGGGGTGGGGAAGCATTGAACTGGACCGACAATCGATGGTCGCTTCAGATTGTGGAACTGGCGGAAACAATTTGGATTTTGGTCAAGAGCACAAAAGATCAGACGTGGGGAGGAGGAGGTGGCGGGCGGGCGGGCGGGTGGCATTGACCGCTCGGATGACTCTCCGGCCATTCTCTTCGTACAAAAGCCGACGGGAAATCGTTTCCTCGCGTTATTACTTTTTAAACGGCATCTTAATTTCGCGAGTTATTTGTAAGAAGCGCGATGTTCTGCTGGTCGCGGTGGAATTTAAGTGTGGCGGCGGAGGTGCTCGTGTTTATTTAAAGGCTGGCGATGAGCGGTTTTTGCCGAGGTTTGCTTTCCCTAAATGTATATTCGGTTATGTTTTAAAACAAGTTTCGACAAACTGCACGTTCACGTGAATGGTATTGATGGCGCGTGATTTCACGCGTTGTTTTATTTTTAAGCTTTGTTCACTTGGAGCGCGCGGCTTTTGATTTTTTTGGTTTTCCGTTGTCAACGGCAAAAGCAAGAGACAAGCAACGGACGATGTCGGATGTCGTTCAAATGTTCTAAATGCACGCACACGCGAAAATCTTACGGGTTTTTACTCCCGAACAGCTCGACGGGACAGACATTACAATTTGCTACCTGCTCGATTGTTGCAAGACTGCTCTCGGACTTTCCTCAATCTGCTTGTTGGAAGGACGTGAACCTCTGTCCCGGACATGCGCTGCTCGATGCAACTGATGTTTTCGGCGTTCTCTCCGGTGCGATTTTGTGGGGTTGTACTGCGAGCGGTGTTTGGCACGGTGTCCGAATCGAGTTTGCCGAACAGGCTCCCGCCGGCATGCGCCGCGAAATGTCAAGACAGCGGTGCCGAACAGCGCGTAGCGGTACAACCCGAAAGCACGTCGCGAACGAGCGCTGCAGCACAAGGCGCGAAAACCTACGTCGGTCATGCGTCGTTTGAGCATTTTCCCACGGACCTACACCTACTAAGGCCATCCTCTCAACATGCACAACTTACGAATGCTATCTGACATCTAAACTGAACGTTTTTATTTTACCAGGTAAGGCCCAATGATAGCTCTTTGTCAGAAGTGACCTGGCAACGAATGATAGCTCGAGGAAGTGGCTTATCAGGTGCAAATTTATAGCAGCGAAATACTCTAAACGCGCGATTCCAAATGTGAAGGGAAAACCCGGAGGACGAGGAGAAAAATCCACGCGACCACAGGGAGAGAGAGAGAGACGTACAAACTCCGAAGATGCAGGCGTCACGGTCGGGATCGAACCCACGACCTCCTGTACACCAGGCGATGTAATCAACATGCAAGGAAGACGCTTCTTGCCTGAGCGAAATAACTTGGAAGAAGTGATGTCTATGTTACTGCACTGCTGTGAACTTGCTACATTGTGAAGGGAAAAAAAACATTTTCAGTGGGAACCTGTTACATCTGCATATTTTTGCTTTCATTTTACCCTCGTAACCGGGATGATGATGATGACGACGGCGGTGTACGTGCATGATCGTTGGACAATGATGTTTTATTCCAGGCGATAAAAATAAAAAACACATCAAGCGGTAGTCAGCACAGATTTCACAGGTTCAATCTCGACCTCAAAATCCATTCCGACCTCACCGTGGGGCTGTTACTCTCGTGCGCTAATAATCACGCTCTGCGTTTAGGCTCGAGACCCCAAACGTCCCGGCGTTGGGAAAGTGCGGCGCCAATTCCAGAGGGCCTCGCCGCGGCGTTTCCGCGCGTGGGTCCCCCGTTTGCGGATGGAGATTGTTACGATGAATTACGTCGGCCGCATTTAGCCCGAGTGCTCTTCGACGATCGCGGACCTCAGTATACGAGCAGGGTTGATCCGTGTGCCAAACATGGCAAATCGACGACGATGAATTAAGAATCTTGGCCTATGAGCAGCTTTTTCGATTTAAAGCTTTTCGTGACTGCAGGGATTCATCTTCTTGGTTCTTTCGGTAAAGTCACGTAGAAGGAAAATAATAAAATAATAAAAATAAAACATAATAAAATAAATCTCAGACTCTGCCTTCTTGACAGACCTTTTCTCCACCTGAAGACGGCTGCTTGCGTTGTGGCCGAAACGTCGTGAGAATTATTTTATTATGTTTTATTTTTATTATTTTATTATTTTCCTTCTACGTGACTTTACCGAAAGAACCAAGAAGATGAACTATGAGCATCTGTTTATTTTTTTTTAAACTGGTGATGTTACCTATTCGGTGTTCTATCATTTTCTGTATGTGTGTGTGTGCGTGCGTGACTGCTTGTAAATTGGAGGGAGAAAAAAATAATCTGGAAAGCTGGCCACAACTTAGTAAAGGTGTCTACTGTCGACTAAACGCAGGTAAAGGCCGCGAATGTGGGCAGATGGTGAGAAATAAAATGTCAAGAAGATTGCATTACAGTAAAATTCACGGGTGAACTTTTATTGTTGTTGTTGTTGATAGTTAACAGAGGTGAAATGCACAACCAATAATTTTGAAGAACTCTCTGAAAGATACAGTACCTCTTCTTCAGCCGCCGTGCAGATTTTCGCGAAATGCTCTTGGCTCGGGTTTTATATGGTGACCGTTCAGTGCTGTGTTACGTGATTGTGTGTGCGTGTGTTGCCGTGTGTAAGTCCAATGCTATTTTACGTGTGAGATAACATCAAGTACCTCCTGGAAGAGACGGCATTTTTAAAACAAACTGGCATTTCCGGTAGGCCGCCAGTTTTCGATCTGGTCATAATCGTCCGCAGATTTTTTTTGACGCAGGTTTTTTTTTTAACCTTTCAGAATCGCGAATTAATCTTCAGTTTTTAAATAGTGGCGGAAATTCCTTTACGCCTCAACACGCGCGCGTGGCCCGATTGACTTGTTGGGGAAATGTTAGTTTCCCGTCTGATTTTAGGTGGGAATGTGCCCCAATGTCTCCGCGATTATCTCCTGAGATGAGGCAGTTGCCAAAGCGAGCCGATGTATTTTTTATTGCTAATTTCGGCAAATATTTGAAAATGGCTCCTGGGGTTCAAAGTCAATCTGTAAAAAAAAAAATAACTAAACATTCTAACTCTACTTAGCTGTGTAAATGTAAGTTTTTTTTTTATGTCAACAAGAATAATAATATGTAAAAGTCTATAAGTCCTCATTAGGGATACTGTTTACCATTAATTGGCCATGATTGAATATCTGCCTAGTTTCTAATTAAGATATTGGCATTAATGTTGTCGGCTAGATTGCGCTCAAGATTGTTTTACGAAGGAAATTGATTATTGCGCCGTACAAACGTGTACTCGTGGTTGATTTGAGTTTTTCAATTCTGGGCCACTGATTTACCTCAATGGGACGTACATCAACACCTGTCCACACAGATAGGTAGAGAGAGAGAGGGGGGGGGGACTTTAATTCCAACCGGTTCTGCCCGAGGTCGGTAACCCTTTCCACGCTCAGCACACAACGCGGCCACTAATTCCTCTTGCTATGGCCGTGGCCAGCAGATACGGGGCCGTCCATAAATGACGTCACGCACCTGGGGGGGGGGGGGATCAGACATTTGTGACGATGTGTGACGAGCGCGGGGGGGGGGGTTGAGAAATGTGACGTCACGTCAAAATGCGCAACTTTAAATAAATATAGACAACACGTTCTACTTAATTAAATTAACGTTTTAATGAATGTTTTCTCCTACAACATCAGAGTGCAGCGCCACATTAAATACGCACAACAATGACGATAGTTTAAAGCGATTTGAAGCACGTTTTATTTTGAAAATGGAAATATGGTTTGGGGGGGGGGGGCAAAGCTTTGTGACGTCATATTTGAGGGGGGGGGTCTGACTTTTTGTGACGCCGTGTGACGAGGGGGGGCGGGGGGTCAAAAATCGTCCAAAATCGCGTGACGTCATTTATGGACGGCCCCTACAAGGCGACTCCAATCCACCAGCATGGCCCAGAAAATACTTGCTGAGAAATTCCTCCGTGGTGCGTAGACTTCGTTGTGAAGTTCCCTGCGTGTCAGAGTTGACCGTGACCTGCACCACAATTGGTTTGCTAAGTGGTTGATAAACAACCCACATGCCAGCATTGGGCCGAGCTAAGTGATCTTACACCGTAGCGTTTGTGCCAGGCTAGGTGCACTTCGAGGCGACGTTGTTTAAAAAAAAAAAATACAAACGCACAGGCAGGGAGACGTTCCTGTACAAATAGAGCAAATACAATCGTCCAGGTTTGTGAGAATGTCGGTGGACTCTCACATGGTTAAATAAAGGACACGAATCATAACCTTGGTGCTGGATGTTAAACTTGCAACGAACATTCCCCAGTAAACATGCAAACCGTTGGCCTAATGTTCCATGTTTTCTGGCAGGGACGTGCGGTCAGGGGAGGCAGGGGAGGCAGGGCCTTACCTGTAATACTCCAATGAAAATAAGTGTTACTAAAAAAAAAAATATGAAGATTTTCCCACTGATCTGTGTTAGAAATGTCAATTCTGTACGATTCCAATAATTTTTATCGTCAAAATCGCCAAATTTGCGGAGCTCCGTTGCAAATAGAGGAAGAGACGAGAGGTGAGGCAGCGACGAGCTCAGCCTCCCCTCTGATTGCGCAACCCCTCAGTAACTGGATGGAGCGCGGGCAATAAGCGCGTGCCTGTTACTATCTCAGTATGTCACCAATGTCATGTTTGTAGACCCCTTCATTTCATGTCTTCGCCTTCCATACTCCAGGTAACTTATTTCACGGAGGTGTATAAAGATCGATTTAAAGCTTTCGTGACTGCAGGGATTCATCTTCTTGGTTCTTTCGGTAAAGTCACGGCTGCTTGCGTTGTGGCCGAAACGTCGTGAGAATTATTTTATGATGTTTTATTTTTATTATTTTATTATTTCCCTTCTACGTGACTTTACCGAAAGAACCAAGAAGGTGTATAAAGATATTTAGGCTCGCTGGTCTCGTCATAAACCTGCAATGAAAAAGCACGAGGGGAGGCAGCTATCACATCTGCCTCACCGAGGGGGGCGTGCCAGACACGTGTAAGACATGCCCCTCCCCCTTAGTGAGGACACGCCCTCCTCAGTGTGTGAATCTGGCTCTGATAATAGCCAGTGCCTCCCCAGCCAATGACCTCACCTCACTGTTTTCTGGGTATAGTTAAAGTATGCCTACCTCTGACAGTTCGCGTTTCTGCTAAATTGGTTAGCTGAAAACAATTAACTTTAGTCGCCTGTAAACATACACACGCAGTTTTTTGTCGTACACAATAAAAACAAGTACTGTCACTTGCTTAGCTTTAAGACGTAACGCGTTATCGGCGTTGGGACCCCCCCCCCCCCCCACACACAAGAAAATAAGCTGGTATTAATTCTAGATTTGAAGCTTTCGTGACTGCAAGGATTCATATTCTTAGGTTTTTTTGGTAAAGTCACGTAGGTAAATTTTTTGTAATAAAAATAAAATCACGACGTTTCGGAGGCAACACAAGCTTCCGTCTTCAGGTGGAACCGTCACAGCACGATAGCTGTATCAAGTGATACGTAGTGATTTTTATTTTATTTTTTATTTTACTTTTATTTTTTTTACCTACGTGACTTTACCGAAAAAAAAACCTAAGAATATAAGCTGGTATAATAAACACAAATGGGGTTATCAAGTGACACTATTCACGGAATTATTCATTTCTAAAATCGTTCGTGAAGTGGACCCAGCCTCGGTCCAAGAGGGTTCTAATAATCTTGATAGCTTAAATTTAGATTTAAAGCTTTCGTGACTGCAGGGATTCATCTTCTTGGTTTTTTCGGTAAAGTCACGTAGAAGGGAAGTAATAAAATAATAAAAATAAAATATAATAAAATAAAATAATTCTCACGACGTTTCGGCTACAACGCAAGCAGCCGTCTTCAGGTGTTCCACTGCTGGTTGACGCACGTGTGTAGGTCCGTCGTGGGGAGTTCGCCGACCATACTTCACCACGCCAGTCACGGTGCGTTTTGGCGAAGTGGTGCAGGGAAAACCCCGATGCCGAGAATCGAACTTAGTTTTTCGCAGTGCGCTAACCGCAGCGCCACCGCTCCCCCCCCCCACTCACCGCAAAACCCCCACCCCCCGCCCAAAATTGGACCAATAATAATAATGTTTTTACTGTTAATAAAATATTGATTATTTCAATTAATGTTGTGATTGTATATACTATGAGATAAAATACCGCACGACTGAGCATATGTATACATACATTGAGAGAGAGAGTGCAATACAGAGTTTGCGTTTTTTGGAGCGTTCATTATACACGTCCGAGGTATTTTGTTTCCCGTTTGTTATTTGTTGACGTGTTTTTGCAACTGCGTTTGAATTGTCCTCCGCGTTTTGAGGGAAAACGTCGGCGGGAGAGAGTTTTTTTGTTTTTTTTTTCGTCGAAATTTAGCGAAATTAAACGACCGGATCACGCATTTTTGTTTTAAAAACTTTTCCCGTTTTGCCGTCAAACCTTCGACGGAAACGGCCTTTCCCGACAACCATAAACACGCCGCGAGGAGTGCGCCGCCAAGTTTTCACACTAACGCCCTCATTGGCGGGTTGTTTTCATTAAAAAATCAATTAGTTCTTCAATCATCTGTGATCTGCGTTGAGTTCATCTCATTATATTTCGATTTAAAGCTTTCGTGACTGCAGGGATTCATCTTCTTGGTTCTTTCGGTAAAGTCATGTAGTAGTACTATTACGCGACTTTGGTTCTTTCGATAAAGTCACGTAGTAGTACTACTACGTGACTTTACCGAAAGAACCAAGAAGATGGGTCATCTAATTATCTTTAACCCCCCCCCCCTGGCGGCTCTATAGTGAGCAATGGTTTGGTCCAAGCCCCTCCCCCTTCTCACCTCCCCCCGTCCAGGTAGATGCACGTTTCGGGGTGTACCATTACGTCCCTTGGAGTGGGGGGGGTGTGGAATTGCATAACGTCCCAATGATTCTAGATTTGAAGCTTTCGTGACTGCAAGGATTTCATACTCTATGGTTTTTTTATTCGGTAAAGTCATGTACGTGACTTTACCGAAGAAAAAAACCCCATAGAGTGACGTCCCAATGGTTTGTAATTATAACGGCCGCTCTCTGCATTATAAATGAACGCAACACATATCCTCGCGAAGATTGTTCAGGTATTGATCGATTAATTGTACAGGGGGTTCTAACTGTTAATGAAATAAAACGTTCTAAAATGAGTATGGTCCAGGCGTCGACTTTATTGCAACGGTGTGGAATGGACGTTATCTCTTTAATCTGTGTGTATCGGGTCTATTTGTTCAAGTTTTATGGTGTTTATATGTTTCGATTTAAAGCTTTCGTGACTGCAGGGATTCACCTTCTTGGTTCTTTCGGTAAAGTCACGTAGAATGGAAATAATAAAATAATTCTCACGACGTTTCGGCCACAACGCAAGCAGCCGTCCTCAGGTGAAGAACAGGTCTGTCGATAAGACAGCGTCTCAATGACACGTCCTGGACTCGGAGCGTCTATTTAAGCTGGGAGGGAAGAGGAAGAGCGCCTTGACAAAATAATTTACATATCAAGAGGATTTTTTGCATATTTATGTAATATTACACTATGTATTATTCTACCCACCCTACTGCGAACCACACTGCTGCGTTGTGGCCGAAACGTCGTGAGAATTATTTTATTATGTTTTATTTGTATTATTTTATTACTTCCATTCTACGTGACTTTACCGAAAGAACCAAGAAGATGTTTATATGTTATATATAACTTCGTGAGGCTTCAAGCCACCATCATTGACGATATCACGGCTAACATCAGTGGCGACTGACAACATAAACCACTCCTGGGGCAACTACATCGACTCAAGTCGTCATCGACTCAAGTCGTCAGTGAATCCGATGAGCTATGAAGCTCTTTTTTCACAGATATATTCTTTGTTGTCACAACAACGAAGAATACAAAAACACGAAAGTACAAGAAATGTTAACAAATCACCCAAACACACAAAATAAAACTAAACCATCCCAAATCTGACCAGGCAAAGGCCCCTCTGAGCTATTGACTTATTGTTCAGAAGCCACCTGGCCGCCACAAATGATTGCAGCTCAACAGAGTGGCCCATCACGTGCACATTTATTATAACACCAAAATAGTCTAAATAGTCTAAACGCACGTTTCTAAACGTGGAGGTGAAAACCGGAGGACCTTTGAGAGAAAAAATCCACGCGACCACGGGGAGAGAGACATACAAACTCCAAATATACAGCGGACGTCAGTGTCGGTATCGAACCCACGACCTCCTGTATACCAGGCGAGGTAGTTAACATCTCCTAGCCACCGTGATGATGATGAGAGAGAGAGAGACACGCAAACTTCAAATTGACAGCAGGCGTCAGTATCGGTATCGAACCCATGACCTCCTGTATACCAGGCGAGGTAGTTAACATCACGTACCACCGCGTGATGTGTTGGATGTGTGCACATCGACCTTTGGGGAGACAAAAGTGGTCGGGCGTGGTTATACCTGTCAACCCCTTATCGGTGCCCACCT